ACTCGGCTCGACCTTTGAGATGTACGGGGTCGACGGGATAGGAGAAGCCGTGTGTGTAGAACCGCGGTCTGGGGGAAACAGCCGTACACCTTCAAGTGGATTAACTATTTGTCACACAGAAGGAGTGGGGGCAAATATCTGATGATCGCGACTGCAACGCCTGAGGTGAAGATAAACTCAACGGATGCGGGGCAAACCCCAATCCCGCCCTGAGGTCTCCCACCGAGGCAACGTGCAGTCCAGAAAAAGATATTAACACACACGTATATGCCGTAATATGCGATTAATTTGTGTAAATATGTAAGAGGCATTCGATGGATCACGCCAACATGCGATTCGGCTCACACGTGGTTCAGTAGGGAAGGTTCTGTAGGGAAGGGCGCTAGCACAGCAGGATCCCCGTTGCGACGTACGCACCAGTTGGGAAGCACTAAACATTATTATTACATTGATTTAGATAAAAGGTTAGATAAAAGCCTATATTCATTTGAAAACTCTCAATTACTTGGAGAACCACCGTGGACCAGACTATGGACCGGACCAGCGGCGCCCAGAAGGGCGGAAACTGTNAATTACTTGGAGAACCACCGTGGACCAGACTATGGACCGGACCAGCGGCGCCCAGAAGGGCGGAAACTGTGCCGCCCCAGATCTCCGCGAGTCTCCCTCAGCGTTTGGATCGCTTGTCACTCGAAATTGCAGTCAGTATTCAAAGCTATTACAATAATTTTATATTTCTTCATATCCCGTTAACTTGGCGGTTTTTATTATGGTTTTGAGAATGGCTGTCCTGAAGTTCCTATCGGTGGCGGCCGTCGCTATTTTTTTGTCAGATATCAACTGGGCATATGGTACAGATGAAACTCCTGGGGGAGCTACGTCAACTCCTGAAACTAACGGAGGTTCTAAGGATCAAGAAGATGCATCTGATCCAGGGCCTGAAGATGTTGGGACTGGTACTGCCACTAATAAGGCCGGTATGCCCCCAGTGAATTCACATAATTTCGCTCCTAACAAAAGAGTCGAGCAGGTTTGAAATATATTCTTGCTGATGATTTGCTGCAGTGAGAGCAGAGTGCTGGGAACAAATGAACGCGGCCCGCAACCATGTCGGCTTCGCTGAACTCACGCACGAAAAGAGATTCAAAATTACTGAAACTGACCGCGCCCGTTCTGCCACAACACTCAAGGATTACCTGAACACAGTCTGCAAAGGCATGAAAACCGTGAGGTTTGGGTCTGAAACTATCTTTCTCATGTCTTGCCGGATTGGACAGCGCAGACGGTACCAGCCTGATGTACACTCGTAGACACACACACGCACACATCGCACTAACGGAGCCAAAATACCGCACCATGTAGCTCTCGTTTGTTTTCTGCTTTACACTACGTACTACAAACAGGACAAAGTGCCTGATGGCGTAACCCCAATCGAGGGCACCTTCGCATACGCAATTCAAGAAGGGGAAGAGGCTGATTGCCAGGCTGCAGTCGACTACTGGAAGGAAGCCCTCACAAACTTCAACGGGGAGGTGCCACC